TACTTTAATATAAAAAATTGTATTTAAACAGTTAATATTTATTTACATATTGGTATATTTTATATACTATTGACTATTAATATTTGGTGATTTTGATGAGTTATCACATTTTTATTTTCAGATAAATTGCGAAAATGTAGCAAATTTAACTTATAGAAAGAAGCGCTTCTTATCCCTAATAGAGAAAATTAATGGCACCACAGTTAAAAATATTGACAGACAACAATTTCATGAGCAGGAGCACCACGCAATAAAAATGCCTTTGGATTTTGTTATAATAGTTAGAAATAACAAGCAACTCAAACCAGATAAACTACTGTATGGAGAAAATAAGATTTTAATTGCAGGATACGGTAATGACTATTATTAAAGAAAAAATTATATATTAAAATTCAAATATTCATATTGCCTAACTGTAATATTGCAAGTTATATTGCATTTTTCGTTGGTCCCCCAAAAAAATATTATCTATTAGCCTTAAGCACAAGATATTAAAAATACTCAATCAATTAAATAACTGGAGAGTCATCACAACCTTATTTGCACTTAAAATGTTGAAATGTAGAAATCATAGTTAATACAACTTTGTTTTAGATTTCATAAACAATGAAGTATGTTTTGACTACTCTCTTCTGGTAGGACTTCTTATAGCTTGGCTATTAATTCAAGTTATTCTTGTGACATGTAGTTTCTTAATAATAAGGAAATATAAGAGACATTATGAAGAAGAATATGTAAGGCAGTCCATTGATGAACTTCAAAAAAGTTTTAGATATGGTGATAGTAATTTAGACAGCAGAAGGGTTCATTGGGCAGACCGGCGAGATAGTGATCTAAATTATATGTGACCTAATTAAACAAAACTACGTAACATTTCAGTCAAATTGGTGGGTGTTTATCAACTTGTTCCACTATTACTACTAGTCGATTGTGCTTTAAGTTCTTTAGTTAAGTCAATCTGTTGTTGTAAATAGAATAAATTCTCTGCTTTTCTTCTCTGCTGACTTTGAATATCTCTGACAATACCTTCATGCATCCTTTCCCTTAAATATGTTTTGTTATTTACTAAATACTCAAAAATAAACATATTTCGACAAACCTATCCAGTTGCTGTCGATAGTGGACATACGAAATAATTCCAACTGATGTAATGCAAGCTGAAGTAAGTACTATTTTTGAAACTAATGACATTTTATTACACCGTGAAGAATAAATGAAATGAATTTAAAATTAATTGAGCATCGAGTATCACTAATTTGTTGAAAATAAGTGGGGTTAAATTCACAAATGTCAGACGTCACTATTTTTGAACTACTACTCGAGTAATTAGATCTACTACCAATGTAACGTTGAAACTAAAATTACTGCCAAACAACAGCAAAGTTGAACAAAGAGGTTAACAGGATATTAAAGTTACAATAATCATTTTATACAAAAATACTTCTTTAAACTGTTTTCATTATGGTGTGAGAAAAAAATGCTTGAGAATGAAGCTTTATGTTGCTGTGAATATTATGATGTTAACAATGAACGAAATCATATTCTGACTTGCTGCTGTAACTGTTTAGAGTTTGATGAGGCTTTTGATAAGTAAGAAGTCGTTAAAACTAAGAATTATTTGAAATGTTAATTGTATTTTGGACTATTGCATTTACTTTTCAGTTTAATATCTGGTAAAAAAATACAAGCCAGTCATAAAACAGCTATAATGACCACTTTCCAAGATAGAATAAGAATGCCTTGGCCTGGTGGAGCAAGAAGGCTGTCTATAGAGACAATTATACCATGCTTTGCATTACCTTTACTAATTTTAATTGCCACATTAAGCCTGTGGAATACAGTATTTAGTTTTTTCTTTATGTTTTTGCTGTTAATAATTATGAAAAAAAAATTTAAACATATGAAAATCTTATTTTTGCGATGGACTATTATATCATTCTTAATCATTTATCTAATATTTGAACTACTTGTTATTCCATATCTGGAGATATTAATAAGCGAAAACATTACTGTAAATGTATTTGTTATTATTGCAGTTGTAGCTGCCTATTTAATGAAAGTTAAAACACATAATTTAAAAGGCAAATATGAAAGAGAAAGTGGTTGTACAATTCAAGTTGATGAATGTTCATCTTGTCAAACCTATATACCAGGAAAGGATTTTCATTGTATTTGGTATGATTATCTTATGAAGTTAAAACTAATTAATTAATTTAAATATTTTTTAGTCTTAACTGTTGTGTAGGACAACACAATCGTAATTTTTATTTATTATTTCTGGTAATGACCTTATCAGCTTTAGTATACAGTTCTAATTTAACACTGACAACTATTTGCCATCCTTTTAATTTTTACAAAACAATCCTACTTCCAGATGATTGCTCTGAAGTATATGAAGATTATGAGTGAGTCATTAAAAATTCATCATCTATTAAAAGGCATACTTTTTATTATTGCCATTTCAGATTAGCCCTAAGTTTTGTGAGTGCTGTTTATAGTCTCTTAATTACAGTTTATATACTGTATTTACTTATTTATCAAGTAGTTCTGGTAATATTTGGTTTTACTGGAGAGGAATGGAATTCACTGCCATTTTTGCAAAAGATTGTATGTGGTTTAGGGAGGAAAAGGTCTCATAACAGAAAAGTCATGTGGAGTTAAGAATTGTCTTATATAGTACATACAATAGGAATGAGTCAATATTGTAGCTGTTTATGTATCAGTGAAAATTGTGTACTGCATGTAATTGTTATTTGTGAGAAGCTGTAAAATATGCTTAGTTTTGAATTAGATACCTAAGATAAAATTATTTCATACAAATTAGGTATTTCATTAAAAATATATCTGCTAAACTTTTTTTTTATTTTGCCTTTCCAGTATCATCTAAGTGTGGCAAAAAGTAATAATAATTACTCATAATAAGTAATAAATGTAGCATATGTACAAACCGAAAGTAATTATAACATAAATTAAAAATTCATTTTATTTACCTTGAAGGTGTTTAGCTTCTCACAATAATTTTGGTCAGTGTGCAACTTCGCGTATTTTGAAAATCACCCCAAACGCACTAAGAAGTAATAAAAGTAACTCAACATTTTCAAAAATTACAAATCACTCCATTTCTTGATCACTTGAGATTATAAAACAATATTTTTGACGAACGTTTCATTTAAAAATTCACTAAAAATTAATTTTAAAGGAATCGTTTTGACGTTTAGTTTTTTAGGTTAAAATTTTAAAACTACTACGATTAATTACAAATTTGTTTGCTGCTTAGACAACCTTTTAAACGAGCTATTAACCGAGTGATTACAGCGACATCTAAAAGTTATACGATTAAATACTAAACCAAAATGGATTTCCGACTTTTCTTTTGGTTTGAAGATAATTTGTTCTTTTTTCTATTTCCTTACGATAAAATAATCAGATTGTTTATAATTTTATAGGATAAGAATCAGTTTGTTTTGCTTCTGATATTTTTAGTTTTCTCAGGCAAACTAACAGGTTTGAAATTAGATACTGTATTATAAAAAGATAAAAAGTAAGTATCTACTCATCACTAAATAAGAAAATTTAGTAATTGGTCTTTAGTGTTTCTCGAACTTACCGTTCTTGTCTAATTTTTTCTTGTCTTATTATTATTGTAAGATCAAGATAAAAAATTTGTGAGCAAGAAAAAAAAAAACAAAAATTTCTTTTGTATATGGTTTAAAAGTTAATGTAAATAACTTAAAAAGCACAAAATTTAGGTCTGAGATACATTAAGATTCTACATACTCACTATCAAAATCCTTCTTTCATGAATTTAGACAAAACAAGCTTGGGGACTCCCCATGCAAGCAAGAACAAGAAATGGCAAGACAAGACGTGAAGTGAATAAACATTAGACTCAGGTATAGGGACATTAGCCAGGATAGAGTCCTTGCTTAGTGGTACCGGTGGTACCATGCATGGTAGGTACCTGTGCTTGTATCATTTCAAAATAAATTGATACAGAGCTAGGGAATCGATGACGTTAAACCACTTTTCACTTTCAAGTTCAATTTTGTTCAGGTTCGGAGTGAGAAAATAAACCGGACCAAGCATTTCCTATTAATGGGACCCTTTTATTAGAATATTTGTCAATAAATTTTCTATTCCTCATCGTATTAGTGTGATAATCCAATGACAGATCGGGCTCCATCTGATTTCCTAATGGCGCTGATCAGTGTTGGGTTAGAAGGGTACCTACTTTGGGCACTGAATGCCAATTTTTATGATGGTTCAGTCGTTACGTAAATTAAGTCAACTAATCGCGAGAAGGTAAAATCTATCGGATCCGGGTCTCCAATTATGAAATTGCGAAAAGAACTGAATCATGTTAAAGATGGTGGCAGACTGATGACGGTCGGCCGCCATTACGAGGTAGGACTTGCGGGATAGATACGACGTAACCGGTCGCGGTTTTTGGCGTAAAACGCAGTGCAATGAAGACGTGAAGAAATTGCTTCGGTTGCTCGTCTATGAGGAGGAAACAGTCTTCAAAGGCAACAATTCTGGTTAACAATGCGCGCGATGTCCTGCGCGTAGGAGGTCGCCGCGCCTTGTGTTCGGCATCGATCGGTGGATAGGTGGCGCACCATTCGGGGCAGTTTGCAGGGCCGCTGCCGTGGCTTGTAGGACGTTTGAAATTTGAAGCGTTTCGGCGAAGAATGAATAGAAAACGGGACACGGGCCCGTGGAAAATATGTAGTGTTGCGGTCGTGAAGTGTTAGTCTTAGAGTGAAAAGCGGCCACCGACCACTGGCTGGTAGCCGCACCGCTGAAGAAATGCCCTAATGGCTAGAGAGGTATCTATCTTAATATCGCCCTTCTGTGTTTGCCCTTATGCGCTTGGTTTTGGCTTCCGCGAAAATCCATTCCGTAATGTACCTTCTTGTCGTATAGAATGGGGACATTTCCTTTTTTAGGGCGCTGTCTCAAATTCAAAGGGTAAAATTATCCTATTTAAATAAGCGAAACTTTGAAGGGACGCGTATTCAGACTTGCTATTGAACTAACTCAAACTCGATCCGTACAGAATTTATGACTTTTTGATGTGTTGTTAAACCGAGGTTGATGACATGGGTTGGGTTAGTTTTGGGCATTTAATACATTTACCGTTTGAACTGAATGTTTAAAACTTAATACAAATGAACTTCAATTTATAAATTTTTGTAAGACTTCAGGGGNTTATGAACTGTGATAAAAGCTTTGCTTAAAAATATACGAGCGAATTTTTTATAGGTAGTATCTAATTAATGAATAATTACAAGGAGGTATGGGTTTGTTAGGTAGTTGCCCTTTTTATACTGTTTTGGGTTTCTATCGTATAAATCTTCACGTTGTTTGTAGTAATTAAATAAAAAGCGATAAATCTTTTGAGCATATACCTAATTTTTGAACTGATAGGTCAAATTTTCAGTTTTGAATTAGAAAATCAAACTTATGAATACGTACTTACTAAAGAATAAATTAATTGCTCTTCCTCTGTTTTCTTTTACACATAAAACGATGAAAATCAAAATTTTTGCCTATATTCAAAAATTGCATATCAAAATGCAGATGATAATCATAAGAAAACGCTCATAGTATACATATTTAGGTTTTTGGGGTTAACACGATTATAATTCCAGCGAAAGCGGAATGGGTAGTTAATAAAATGGTTAGGGGGCGCAAGAGGCTTGTGTAAGTGATGTTAAGATGGGTGTGTTACAGGAGGCCCGTGGCGTCGGAGTCGTCGGTGGTGTCGGTGGCGGTGGCGGCGGTAAGCGTCCGTTCAAGTTATGGGACGGCCGACGTAGCGTGCGCAAAGGCCTGGTGGTGGGCAGTTTGGAGGAGCTGGTGCAGCGAGGTCGCGAAAAATTAGGCGTCGGTGTGGGCGAGCCGGTAAGGTTGGTATTGGAAAGCGACGGCACCCAAGTCGAGGACGCCGAATATTTTCGGACGCTGCCACCGAACACTGTCCTGCTGCTGCTTAGGCCCGGAGAACGCTGGTTACCGCAGGGGGTCGACGTTATCAAAGCAGGTCAGCTTTTTTTTATGTATAAAAAAATGATAAAACCGATTGTTTTCTCGAAACATGTGTTACTACCCCACGCGTACGGTTTACGCATTTTACTTTTATCGCGGCTATACAAAGTGACACATAAATAATAACAGTCAAATTCGGTTATAACGTACGAGAAGGGGAACTTAAAAATCAGTACGTTTTATTCAAAGTTTGTTAAAAGACAAATAGGCATATAATTCTTACAAAGAGTCTGTTTGTTCTAATTAATAAACTCACAAATACATTGGATATTGAAAGCAACAAGAACAATAAAGTCGCCTTTTACTTTCATGCCAATAAATACAGGCTGCTAATAGTGAGATACAAAATGAGTATATTTGCTCTTTATGGATGTTCGGACGCAGATTTTTCATACCTACTATATATCAGAAGGACGCTATAACCGATAACTAAGTATTTTATAAAAATTAGCTTTTTACGGAGTGTCCCATAAGAACGACTTTCGATATGGTGTACGTTATAACCGTTATAAACTTGTACGTTATAAGTAAATTTTATTGTATTCCGTTGGTAACCGTTTTTCTATTTTCTATTAGTGGAATAAGTTCCTAGTAGTTCTATAAATTACCTTTTCTACAGGTAAAAGAGTTTAAGATGTTCATGGTCGGATGTGGTGAGGAACAAACGAACATTATTCCAAAACGAAAGCGATTAAATAGAATCTTTAGGATGTAATTTTTCAAAAGCCTTCTAACGATATCTTACCTACATGCTGAGATACGCGACAAAAATCAGTCAAGAGCGAGTTTGACTCACACTCCAAGGGTTCCATATCTAATCAAGTACCTAGGGAATACCGTTTTTCTTTTGAAGTAATTATTTCTACTTCAATATAAAGGGAGTTTTTAAAAGAAGAAACAATTTTCTTTCTATATGCATAAAAGGACATTCTATCTACAGTATTTACATGTAAAATTTCATTTGGTAATATTGATTAAAATCTATAGAAACTTGTAGGTTGTAACAAATAGGGACAGATTTTAGGCCAGTATAATTATTTACAAGGTATAAGACCAGAAAGATATTGCAGTATTTTTGAAAGATAACATAACCAGTACAGATCTAGCGGATTAGATTAGGTCATACAGTTATTTTTGTTCAAAAGTTAAAAAGACATGACTATTTCAACATTAAAATTTTAGAAGAAACATCACTAATAACAATACATGGTTAGTAGTCTGATTAAGGTTTTATCGGTTCATACACCTATTTTGGCTATAAAAGAATATAATTAATCTAAAGACTATATCGATCCGGTTTTTTTGGCCGTGGTCTGTGGAAGACCATCAGTTACGACTCAGCACCTGCCCAGATATGATTTTATCGAGTATATAAGGGTAATTGCTACTTAGGAACGGTCCTTAAATTGAGCAGAAATTAGCCGTTATATTATTTCGAGGCAGACCTTTGCTCTTTGAGGCAGGCCGCATATTGTAAGAATTTTTCTGTTAGATGTTCGTCGGTGCCACCCCGCACAATATGTCAGAAATTTTGTTACAGCAAGTTTAGGTTCTGTTCGTAACTGGCCGTTAGAATCGTTGGTACACCGCAGTCGAAAATAGACGAAGATGATTGTTTTACTCAGTTTTGAGTTATTTATTTGCAAATTTCTTCCTAGACCAGGTGTAGGTTCATTTTATTGTAATAGTTTTTGTCACATAGTTCCTATCCTAACAAGGGTATAAGTACTTTTCGATCTACATAATGAGATCTTCAATTTCCGCCTTTGTTTCTCACTGTTTATACAATGAACTTACGTCGCGTCTGACACAGCGTCTAAAATAAAATGTTTAGAGAGCGCGCCTCCCGGCGTTCTGATCAAATAAATTTTTGCCGTCCGATTGGTTAGCATCCGGCGATCATCCGAAACGGACTTCAACAAAATGCATGTATGGAGCGCCTTCCGGTGAATATCAGAAATTTTCTTGCAATGTGCGACCGGCCTAAAAGGTGAAACCGTGAAATTATCGTCGTCGGGGAGTCAGCGACGTCGACGGAACACGTTGGCGCGTCGCCCGCCAACACCATCTCGGTCGTCGATTCGAATAGCGTCCGCGTCGATGGTGTGTGAATGTATGTATGTATGTGTATATGTGTGGGACGATGCCGTTTGGGCGTTGACGGGGCTGAGGTCTCCACGGACCCGCAAAATCTCTTTTGCACGAAACGCTCGCGGCATCCTACGTACTCGTGCACCTGCTGCTCCGGGGATTAACTGAATTAACTACGAAAAACACAAAGACAAAATATTATCTACAAAGGGATGAAAAGGGAAGGAATCGTGGGATAACGAAGGCAGACAGGATCGAACCCGGCGAAAGCAGAGAAATAATGAATTTGGACACCATTGTTCATGGTACATTTTATAAAACGTGTTTTATACTCATTATCATTCTGTACGATTCCTGGGCAGGTAATGCCTAATAAAGTTATCCTTTACTCCTGTAAAAGGATCTCCTTTCCTACATTTGAATCGTGCCAACGACAACAAATTAGTCACGAAAGACTACATTCCAATTTTTATGTAACATTTTCAGTACTCCTTCTTAAGAAGTACTTAAACTAGTCATGACTTCATGATGATCACTTCTTCTTATGTTTGCCCAATCTTTTTATGCATTTTTTAAGAATTAGAGTTAGAATTTGCGTAGTGTACCTAATCCAATCTAGGTATACCTCTGTCCTTCTTGACTCCTGCTTTTGCTTGTAATATGTCTCTTAATGTCTAACCCATTATTTCCCATATTTTATGTTCTTCAAATGATTGCAATTCTTCATCCACAACTCTTTGTCACTTTTGTGCACCAATTCTGATGGACGTCGCTTTAATTTTAATTAAATCTTCATCAAATCTGTGATTGTGCTACACATAATCATTCAATTCAATTATTGAATAATCATTGAAATGTTTGCGTTTCCGCACTATTCTTGGTTGACTGATTTTACTTTCTACAGCTTCTTAATTTTTTCAATTGCATCGTACAGTTATCATTATCTTCATTTTAATTCGAATTATTACTTCTGAAAAATACATTGTTCCTGAGTTTAACTTTCGTGCGCTCTTCTTCTGGGAACGAGATGGGGTCAATTAAGATAATGTGGTCCCGTGGGAGCACCGAATGAAACAAGACACATAAAAGTTAGGTGTGTGTACTTATACGCCTACTTTTTTCCACAACTATCTCTTACCCCCCACTCGCGATTATGGTATTAGATAGTCCTTGGTTCTCCACCGAAAATAAGAGAGTTGGCAGCAGTATCTGTGCGTGGGTGGGAGTGGGTGGTTAAAATCTCTTCTTAACATATAGGTTTATCCTGAGAAATCCAAAAATGATAGTGAACACAATAACTAAGGTGTACTAAACTCTTTTTTTTATTTTCTAATTTTCAGGAGTTTCTAGGATTTAAAAAAAATTCCAAATGTACCAAATTCTGGAATGTTTCAATTCCACTGCCATCTATAACAATTCTAAATTCTGGCGCAATTTTATTTATTCTTATAAAGACAAAGTCTGGAATTAAAGTTAGTTCGATTTGAACTAGGAATATAGCAGTAATTCATCAGAAAAAGGCGAATAGTCACCTATTAAATGTGACCACTTAAGTTTAAGACTACATTTTATGCAGTTCTTTTCGCTGCATGACACACGCGTAATAGGTACCAATATTGACTTCCACGGGGCTCAGGACCAAAATAGTCAGTGACAAATTGATATTAAAAACGTCATAAATCTTTAAAATTTACATTGGGAAATTGTTCATTTTTTTTAATTGTTGTCTTTGTCGTAGTAGCAATTTCGGCAATTCCTCGGATCGTATGCGAAGCGATACACGCGCTGGAGCTGCACGATGAGACACCCTCTTGGAAGATTATGGATAACAAGGGTCGCGTCACGGTGGTACTGCATTGGGATCAGCGAGGCCCTGGACCTTCAAGGGCTTCGTCGGAAGCACCTTCGCCGGCACCTGGCAAGTATTCGCCCAGCAAGCGGCCCTCGTTGGTCATCCAAACCGCCACCAAAAAGGAAACGGTCATCAACGACGTCTATCAGCAGCCCTCAGCTCAAGCTCCAAGATACCCTAGTCCTCAAATCACTGTGATAAATCATGACGAGGTCAAACCGCCACCTCCACTTCATAGACTTCCTAAACAGGTAATGTAATGAATTTTCAACTGACCAATTTTCAGTAAGAGTTTTTATTGTTTCTACGGCAACAATATCTTATCTCTGTCGGGAAAATAAATAGATTGAATGGTAACGAAGTAAAGGCAGAGACTGTCGAGTCGAAAGAACGGTTGGGAAATTCAAACAGATGATTTTGTTGTTAATTTATCATGCTACAGAAGATAATTAAATGGTTAAATTATAATTTCTACAAGTTTTTAGTATTCATCTCATGTATGTTTCATCACATTGTGACTTTTCAGGAAGTTACAAAATTTATATATGAATAACTTTAGTTTTGAAACCGAATTGACTTTTTTGACATTTTTTCCTTCATTTACTTTTCATTCTTTCCATTGCGAATAGGACTGTTAGTTGTGTTACCAGAGGTTTAAAACAATGTTCTTCCTGTTAACGCAGTATTTCGTTCTTAGGTGTCAGCTATTTTAGGATAGATTTATGTTTTCCTAAATTTCAAATGTACAAGCGTTTTCCTAAGTTTTGTTGATCAGCGATCGATCGGAAAGCACAAGAGATCGCTCATGTTCAATGCATTTTACAGCACAGGGAGTCGAGGGTCCCCAGACCTTACACTTCATTTTTCCACGGTCTTTACTGTAACTCCTAATCCATTTGAAAGGAACTGTATTCTTTAGTCCATCAATCTTCTGAAAGTTGTTCCCTGTCTTCATCATTGAGCGAGTGGTAGATACCACAGAAAAAAAATTCCTTCTAGCACCAAATGATCTAACGGTCATGTGCTTTTTAATCTAACGTTCGTTCCTGTATATATTGAACAGACCATGTAAATGTTTCGTTCCTATCATGACGCGACTTCGAGATTTTAGAAAACCAAATAGGTACTATTGGAATTAAGTTCGGTAGCCCTGTATAAATAAGTATTTCAGAAGCTATTCTACACAGGGCAGTTCGATCGAGAGTACGACGATCCATATTCACACCCCCGAATGCGCGCACCATGTGCATCTGCCACGTTCTGGCAGTCCCCAAACTAACGGTACCATCGAGTGTGATTTTCATTGTTGCGCATTGCACGAAGAGGGTCGCAAAATTGCCGTTCATAAGCATAGCGTTGCGACGTCTCCTATCCAAGACGCTCAACAGCAAACATCACCACAACCACCGTCGCGCCACGTGCGATTCCTCGACGTCGAAGGACGACATCCAGGTTAGAATAATGTCACCCACTTTATAGTACGTACGTTCGCACACTTACGCTTGAGTGTTGTGTGTCGTTTTCACTGTATGTATGTATGTAGATAAGTATATATGTATGTACGTATGTTTGCACATGATTTTATTAACGTCGAGGAGGTCGGCGACCGTGCACTCCTCATTAGCACAAGTAGGTGGTGTTATGTCCTTTCTTGTTAACTCTGATTTATTTATCTTTAGTAGGAAAAACACCCTTACGCTTTCACACGATTATATTTGTTTGTAGTAAAATATTCAAAGAATTGATTCCACTTTTGGTTTTCCACATTAAACCCAATTTCTTTCGAGTAGTAAAAGTATTGTTGTGCAGAATGATTTGGTTTTCGGATACAGAATAGTTAATTTTTATTGATATGCCTATCTTAATTTCTTAAGAAACGGTCATGCGAAACCAAAAAGGCAGAAGCCTCAGCGATTATCTAAAACAGCTCCAAGTTCTTAGAGTTTTATACTAAGTGATTTCTAATAGTTTCTGGAGTCTATTATGTAATTTCTTGTTAAACTGTAATTTTTGTGTACTTTAAAGGATTAAAACAAAAATTATCCAAAATTGCCTAACATCCACGGGGTACTTTTTGATAGTTCTTCATGTCTTCTACCTTCTTGCTCTGTTATTCGTTCCTTATTATTATTATTACTCTATGCATTGAAAACTATGAAAAAAAGATATGGCTCGAAGTTTTCTTTTACAAATGCAAATCCAATCTGATAAATGAGCCACGCTGATGGTTGACGTTTAATTTTTGGGTGATGTTGCAAGAAAGCTTAAGATTATTGAGTTGTGTGGTTGATTTTGAGTAAAATTTTTAATTAATGTAATTAATGTTGTTCGTAGTGCATTCATTCGCTGTGAATCATTTTAATATTATATTAAATATCAATTTGAGTACAAACATACTACGTTAATTAGGAATACATCATAAACTTTATAATAGTTTTTCATTACGATACCACTACGGCTATTAGGTCAATTTCAAAAAATTGGGGAATTCTACCAGTGGTAAGGGTTAGTTATTGCAGCAATAAAAAGACATTTGTTATTACGAACTCAATCTACATTTCGGTATAAACCCCCTCCTAGATCCTAAGCTAATACTTCCTAATCGCCCTAGTATTTAAGAAAAATACTGTAACTGAAACGCCGATTCGATTCCTGGTCCGTCTGCCTTGGTCCAAGTTTTTCTGTGGTTTCCTTGGATCACCTAGGCAAAAGCTGAGGCAGTAATATTCCACAGATAATCTTTCATTCTCTTCTGTCTTCATTTCGTCCGTCTCAACTTTCTCACCCGAACCACCACCCACCCATTACGTTCCGGCGTAGTCCGGAGGGACTGCCCGCCCACCAACATTACTGGTTGGTGGGAATGAAACACCCAAAAGTTTTTTTCTTTTTTACTGAAACTTTAGTACTTAATAGTATTCCTGGAGATGCATTAAGTATTGCAATGTACATCAGGTTCGTAATAAAATTTAGTGAAACTTCTCCAAGTGTTTATTACCTATTATTATGATGTTTCACCATAAGTTTCCGGCTAATTGTACAAATCAATCTGAATTTGTTCAGGTAAAATCGTGTCTTGAATTAACAATATCCCAACGTTTCGCCTTCCGATTGGGGGTTTCTTTTAATTCAGAGCAATATACGTACTACCTGAACAAGTTCAAACTGATTTGTTCTAGTTCTACTTCAGCTTCTATATCTTTTGAAAATGGCCTAATAGCTTTAACGACATCTCAAAGACAAGTTTAATAAAGTTTGTGAAGTATTCCACAAAAAATGTTTTTGTTCTCATATTAGCGTTTATTTTGTAACGGCTAAAATTACAAATATGCGTATGAATGTGGGAGAGTGGATGGCGAGTGATCTCCTACAAATCCTGATGTAATATCATATCCTCTCTTACAATGTTCCGTATTAATCCGTCACGCTGTAGCTAACAGTGAACGATGTCTTGTTTGAACGAAAGGGGTCGATCACGAGAGTTCGGAGAGCGAGACGGAAAACACGGTGATGGAAGATGAGGCGATAACTTCGGAAAAGTTCCTTCTGCTTATCGATCAGCTCAGCGTAGATCAAAAGCGCCACTTGACGATCAAAGATATCGGCATTATTTTGGAGCGGCTCAGTTCTAAGATCTTAGACGTCGAACGCTTAGATCGAGAAAGCGAGAGTGACGATTGTTACAATTGGACCATAAAGGCAACTATTCGCGGGGACGTGTTACGTGAACTCGGTGTTATTTATAACGGAAACTACTACGCCATTTCCGAACATCCGGGATACAAGGAGGAGAACGAGGGCGCCGCGGAAGAAATCGAAGAGGAGGAAGAGGAAGAAGACAGGCTGTGAAGATTTTAAATCATACATACTAATCCCGGATGTCAACGAGTGGCGTGTGCATCATAATAAGAACGCAACGTGTTAATTTTGTTTTCGTTTCGAATAGCAAAAAGATCTTAATATTATCGGTGCCTACATATAAGCGCCACACCGTTTTACAATTATCTGATTGTTTCGAGAAACTTGAGTTGATCAAAATAGATTTTGGCCAAATGAAATGAAACCAAACCCACTCAGGTCCGTTCCTTTTTAATTGCGTAACAGTATTAATTAATAGTCCCCACCCTAATCAGTATTCTTTTTAGAAGAGTGCCAAATATATTATTATAATTTATCACAATAACATTTCTCGCTCGCGTGCGTGCAGTTGTACCAACAATCGCAGATCTTCCATGCAGATCGTGTGCCAAATCAGTAGCAGTTCAAGTTTCTCCCGTAAGTGTAATCCAAGCCTAATAAGATGACGAACCGTTAAATAGGGAAAGAAGGGGTGCTACTACTAGACAAACAAACTGTATACCTTACCGTATAAAAAAAAAAAAGCTATACCGACTGCCACCGTGTTTATGTCAAACAGCACAAAGAAAGCAAAAAAAAAAATGATGACAAAAAATAGACAACTGTATTTAGATTCTTAAGGAGGGTTGTTAGGCGTTGTGTGCGTTAAAACATATCGCAAGCGCCGTATTATTAAAAACAAACCCGAACCTAGGGCTGACAATCGACGATCCATTTTTAAGGTTTATCTGCATAACGTTGTGTGTGCTCCATAATCATCTTCATATGTATTTAGTCATGCCGTTTGGATTTATATCATCATCATCATCATCAGAAATAACAACGATACATTGCCCTTATCGTCATCCCGTTTATACTTTTGTTTTATGGAAACGTTATACAAACTGACAACATCATCCGTAATCCAAACGGTAGCAATCACGGATACATAACATTGTATGCACCTCTTGCAATTTGTAACAAAAAAAAAAGAAAAGAAAACAAAAGAAGAATCACGGCTCTCACTTACATTAGTAAAACTCTACACGTTTCGTGCATGTTTGCGTAACCAGCCATTACTCGATTCTTCGGTGATAACGTTTCACTTTCAAAATATTGTCGGTCGACATTATTACCATTATCATCATTGTTAAGTCCGGTTGGTGTAGTTGTTATTTGCGTGCGTGATTTTGCATGCATCATAATCGCATTATTTTGGTCATGTATTTATCGTGGTAGAGAGTCGATGCTTGAGTAATTTATATTCCTTTTTGGTGTTTGCGCTTCTTCCGCGAGAAGATGCGATTTAGGTAATTTACATTTTGGCGACGCAATGGCAACACACGGGAAATAAAACGCGATACTGGAAGCATCTTGTTATTTTCGTTAACAGCTAATAAACATGCCTTTTTTGAGGTAAGATGTCAAACGTATTTAAAAACATTATCAACACGTTACCTACATTTTACAATCAATCAATAGGAAACTACAAGAGGTTTGTTTAGAAATCTTCATCTTTCTTTGAGAAAATTGAAGGCTGTTAGAAAGTTCGCACTTTTATTTTACAGAAACTGTTACTGTTATTGGAAGGTACTATTATGTTTCAAGTATTAAGGTAATTCCACAAATCTGCAGATAAAAAGGTGTTTAATTTGGTGCTATTAATCAAAATCTGATCTTTGAATTTCGTTAACACATTAAAATTTTGAGATACTTCAAGGTTTATATCTGAAAATGCCTGGATTTTCGTATTCTCGCAGTTCAGCAGAGTCTTATAAAATTTTACCTACAAAAACTAGTTGTGCTATTATAACGTAGAGTTCTAATCTAAATCGATTGTATCGATTATCAAGTAAAAAGGATATATATTTGCAATACCATGATTAGTTTATATCTCTGCAAACGCAGCTGAATCATCAAGATACCCCATTTTTGTACTTTTTAGTAGATGATTTAGAAATTCTAGTTTAATAACAAAATAGCTTTTTTGTATGAGGATTAGTAGTATCACAAAATAAATAATTTTAGACGGATGTACATTCCCATCGAATTTAATAGAATAAGCCAAAGGGTGAAGTGGTTGCATTTGTAGAGGTGGATAGTCCAATGAGTTCATAAATTTGTTTGGGATAAATTCTTAAAATGAATGATCAAAGGACAATATTGCTTAAAAAGTTGCATTATTCTCAATTGTGATGAATAATCGTAACTGTATTAAAAAATAAAGGTTTTGGCAATTCAAACCAAAGTTTTCATACGGCAACGATAATTGTCTTGCCATTATTTAAGATGAAAAGATGTAAAGGTTAGAGAATAACATTTTGCTTTCCAGTATCCACGTAGTGGATTGAATTATTTGGGCGGAACAATTTCGTCACGTTTTTTATATAGAAAATTTTGTTAATCATATAAAACATTTATAAATAAATACACATATTCGCTTAGCTGTTATTTGCTGGTAAGCCCACGGGGCCGTATGCAATCAGCCCTAGAAGTGGGACAAGTTGTTTAAGTGTTGAACTGGACAGTCCCGGACGGGCCGTGTTAAAAGTTTCTAGGACGAAATATTAATTAATTAATTAATTGATTAATTGCTTTGTACTTTTTATAATAATTATGTGGATGATAAAAAAAAATGATACGATGACGTTGGTGACAAGGATCGAACAGATTCTTTATTTTTAACGATTCGTGAGATGTTTTATATTTGTAAAACATGTATATAATGTTAGTTATTGAAAATCCTTGAAATTTGTGCAAACATTTCGTTATTTGCTAAATTAACAATTTCCTAACAAATTACACAATCATTTCGTCAATTTTCTCATACTTAGGCACGCTTTTATCGCNATGAATAACTTTAGTTTTGAAACCGAATTGACTTTTTTGACATTTTTTCCTTCATTTACTTTTCATTCTTTCCATTGCGAATAGGACTGTTAGTTGTGTTACCAGAGGTTTAAAACAATGTTCTTCCTGTTAACGCAGTATTTCGTTCTTAGGTGTCAGCTATTTTAGGATAGATTTATGTTTTCCTAAATTTCAAATGTACAAGCGTTTTCCTAAGTTTTGTTGATCAGCGATCGATCGGAAAGCACAAGAGATCGCTCATGTTCAATGCATTTTACAGCACAGGGAGTCGAGGGTCCCCAGACCTTACACTTCATTTTTCCACGGTCTTTACTGTAACTCCTAATCCATTTGAAAGGAACTGTATTCTTTAGTCCATCAATCTTCTGAAAGTTGTTCCCTGTCTTCATCATTGAGCGAGTGGTAGATACCACAGAAAAAAAATTCCTTCTAGCACCAAATGATCTAACGGTCATGTGCTTTTTAATCTAACGTTCGTTCCTGTATATATTGAACAGACCATGTAAATGTTTCGTTCCTATCATGACGCGACTTCGAGATTTTAGAAAACCAAATAGGTACTATTGGAATTAAGTTCGGTAGCCCTGTATAAATAAGTATTTCAGAAGCTATTCTACACAGGGCAGTTCGATCGAGAGTACGACGATCCATATTCACACCCCCGAATGCGCGCACCATGTGCATCTGCCACGTTCTGGCAGTCCCCAAACTAACGGTACCATCGAGTGTGATTTTCATTGTTGCGCATTGCACGAAGAGGGTCGCAAAATTGCCGTTCATAAGCATAGCGTTGCGACGTCTCCTATCCAAGACGCTCAACAGCAAACATCACCACAACCACCGTCGCGCCACGTGCGATTCCTCGACGTCGAAGGACGACATCCAGGTTAGAATAATGTCACCCACTTTATAGTACGTACGTTCGCACACTTACGCTTGAGTGTTGTGTGTCGTTTTCACTGTATGTATGTATGTAGATAAGTATATATGTATGTACGTATGTTTGCACATGATTTTATTAACGTCGAGGAGGTCGGCGACCGTGCACTCCTCATTAGCACAAGTAGGTGGTGTTATGTCCTTTCTTGTTAACTCTGATTTATTTATCTTTAGTAGGAAAAACACCCTTACGCTTTCACACGATTATATTTGTTTGTAGTAAAATATTCAAAGAATTGATTCCACTTTTGGTTTTCCACATTAAACCCAATTTCTTTCGAGTAGTAAAAGTATTGTTGTGCAGAATGATTTGGTTTTCGGATACAGAATAGTTAATTTTTATTGATATGCCTATCTTAATTTCTTAAGAAACGGTCATGCGAAACCAAAAAGGCAGAAGCCTCAGCGATTATCTAAAACAGCTCCAAGTTCTTAGAGTTTTATACTAAGTGATTTCTAATAGTTTCTGGAGTCTATTATGTAATTTCTTGTTAAACTGTAATTTTTGTGTACTTTAAAGGATTAAAACAAAAATTATCCAAAATTGCCTAACATCCACGGGGTACTTTTTGATAGTTCTTCATGTCTTCTACCTTCTTGCTCTGTTATTCGTTCCTTATTATTATTATTACTCTATGCATTGAAAACTATGAAAAAAAGATATGGCTCGAAGTTTTCTTTTACAAATGCAAATCCAATCTGATAAATGAGCCACGCTGATGGTTGACGTTTAATTTTTGGGTGATGTTGCAAGAAAGCTTAAGATTATTGAGTTGTGTGGTTGATTTTGAGTAAAATTTTTAATTAATGTAATTAATGTTGTTCGTAGTGCATTCATTCGCTGTGAATCATTTTAATATTATATTAAATATCAATTTGAGTACAAACATACTACGTTAATTAGGAATACATCATAAACTTTATAATATTTTTTCATTACGATACCACTACGGCTATTAGGTCAATTTCAAAAAATTGGGGAATTCTACCAGTGGTAAGGGTTAGTTATTGCAGCAATAAAAAGACATTTGTTATTACGAACTCAATCTACATTTCGGTATAAACCCCCTCCTAGATCCTAAGCTAATACTTCCTAATCGCCCTAGTATTTAAGAAAAATACTGTAACTGAAACGCCGATTCGATTCCTGGTCCGTCTGCCTTGGTCCAAGTTTTTCTGTGGTTTCCTTGGATCACCTAGGCAAAAGCTGAGGCAGTAATATTCCACAGATAATCTTTCATTCTCTTCTGTCTTCATTTCGTCCGTCTCAACTTTCTCACCCGAACCACCACCCACCCATTCCCACGATTCCTGAAAGCAGGCTGAAGAGGACCTTCCGCCCTACGTTCCGGCGTAGTCCGGAGGGACTGCCCGCCCACCAACATTACTGGTTGGTGGGAATGAAACACCCAAAAGTTTTTTTCTTTTTTACTGAAACTTTAGTACTTAATAGTATTCCTGGAGATGCATTAAGTATTGCAATGTACATCAGGTTCGTAATAAAATTTAGTGAAACTTCTCCAAGTGTTTATTACCTATTATTATGATGTTTCACCATAAGTTTCCGGCTAATTGTACAAATCAATCTGAATTTGTTCAGGTAAAATCGTGTCTTGAATTAACAATATCCCAACGTTTCGCCTTCCGATTGGGGGTTTCTTTTAATTCAGAGCAATATACGTACTACCTGAACAAGTTCAAACTGATTTGTTCTAGTTCTACTTCAGCTTCTATATCTTTTGAAAATGGCCTAATAGCTTTAACGACATCTCAAAGACAAGTTTAATAAAGTTTGTGAAGTATTCCACAAAAAATGTTTTTGTTCTCATATTAGCGTTTATTTTGTAACGGCTAAAATTACAAATATGCGTATGAATGTGGGAGAGTGGATGGCGAGTGATCTCCTACAAATCCTGATGTAATATCATATCCTCTCTTACAATGTTCCGTATTAATCCGTCACGCTGTAGCTAACAGTGAACGATGTCTTGTTTGAACGAAAGGGGTCGATCACGAGAGTTCGGAGAGCGAGACGGAAAACACGGTGATGGAAGATGAGGCGATAACTTCGGAAAAGTTCCTTCTGCTTATCGATCAGCTCAGCGTAGATCAAAAGCGCCACTTGACGATCAAAGATATCGGCATTATTTTGGAGCGGCTCAGTTCTAAGATCTTAGACGTCGAACGCTTAGATCGAGAAAGCGAGAGTGACGATTGTTACAATTGGACCATAAAGGCAACTATTCGCGGGGACGTGTTACGTGAACTCGGTGTTATTTATAACGGAAACTACTACGCCATTTCCGAACATCCGGGATACAAGGAGGAGAACGAGGGCGCCGCGGAAGAAATCGAAGAGGAGGAAGAGGAAGAAGACAGGCTGTGAAGATTTTAAATCATACATACTAATCCCGGATGTCAACGAGTGGCGTGTGCATCATAATAAGAACGCAACGTGTTAATTTTGTTTTCGTTTCGAATAGCAAAAAGATCTTAATATTATCGGTGCCTACATATAAGCGCCACACCGTTTTACAATTATCTGATTGTTTCGAGAAACTTGAGTTGATCAAAATAGATTTTGGCCAAATGAAATGAAACCAAACCCACTCAGGTCCGTTCCTTTTTAATTGCGTAACAGTATTAATTAATAGTCCCCACCCTAATCAGTATTCTTTTTAGAAGAGTGCCAAATATATTATTATAATTTATCACAATAACATTTCTCGCTCGCGTGCGTGCAGTTGTACCAACAATCGCAGATCTTCCATGCAGATCGTGTGCCAAATCAGTAGCAGTTCAAGTTTCTCCCGTAAGTGTAATCCAAGCCTAATAAGATGACGAACCGTTAAATAGGGAAAGAAGGGGTGCTACTACTAGACAAACAAACTGTATACCTTACCGTATAAAAAAAAAAAAGCTATACCGACTGCCACCGTGTTTATGTCAAACAGCACAAAGAAAGCAAAAAAAAAAATGATGACAAAAAATAGACAACTGTATTTAGATTCTTAAGGAGGGTTGTTAGGCGTTGTGTGCGTTAAAACATATCGCAAGCGCCGTATTATTAAAAACAAACCCGAACCTAGGGCTGACAATCGACGATCCATTTTTAAGGTTTATCTGCATAACGTTGTGTGTGCTCCATAATCATCTTCATATGTATTTAGTCATGCCGTTTGGATTTATATCATCATCATCATCATCAGAAATAACAACGATACATTGCCCTTATCGTCATCCCGTTTATACTTTTGTTTTATGGAAACGTTATACAAACTGACAACATCATCCGTAATCCAAACGGTAGCAATCACGGATACATAACATTGTATGCACCTCTTGCAATTTGTAACAAAAAAAAAAGAAAAGAAAACAAAAGAAGAATCACGGCTCTCACTTACATTAGTAAAACTCTACACGTTTCGTGCATGTTTGCGTAACCAGCCATTACTCGATTCTTCGGTGATAACGTTTCACTTTCAAAATATTGTCGGTCGACATTATTACCATTATCATCATTGTTAAGTCCGGTTGGTGTAGTTGTTATTTGCGTGCGTGATTTTGCATGCATCATAATCGCATTATTTTGGTCATGTATTTATCGTGGTAGAGAGTCGATGCTTGAGTAATTTATATTCCTTTTTGGTGTTTGCGCTTCTTCCGCGAGAAGATGCGATTTAGGTAATTTACATTTTGGCGACGCAATGGCAACACACGGGAAATAAAACGCGATACTGGAAGCATCTTGTTATTTTCGTTAACAGCTAATAAACATGCCTTTTTTGAGGTAAGATGTCAAACGTATTTAAAAACATTATCAACACGTTACCTACATTTTACAATCAATCAATAGGAAACTACAAGAGGTTTGTTTAGAAATCTTCATCTTTCTTTGAGAAAATTGAAGGCTGTTAGAAAGTTCGCACTTTTATTTTACAGAAACTGTTACTGTTATTGGAAGGTACTATTATGTTTCAAGTATTAAGGTAATTCCACAAATCTGCAGATAAAAAGGTGTTTAATTTGGTGCTATTAATCAAAATCTGATCTTTGAATTTCGTTAACACATTAAAATTTTGAGATACTTCAAGGTTTATATCTGAAAATGCCTGGATTTTCGTATTCTCGCAGTTCAGCAGAGTCTTATAAAATTTTACCTACAAAAACTAGTTGTGCTATTATAACGTAGAGTTCTAATCTAAATCGATTGTATCGATTATCAAGTAAAAAGGATATATATTTGCAATACCATGATTAGTTTATATCTCTGCAAACGCAGCTGAATCATCAAGATACCCCATTTTTGTACTTTTTAGTAGATGATTTAGAAATTCTAGTTTAATAACAAAATAGCTTTTTTGTATGAGGATTAGTAGTATCACAAAATAAATAATTTTAGACGGATGTACATTCCCATCGAATTTAATAGAATAAGCCAAAGGGTGAAGTGGTTGCATTTGTAGAGGTGGATAGTCCAATGAGTTCATAAATTTGTTTGGGATAAATTCTTAAAATGAATGATCAAAGGACAATATTGCTTAAAAAGTTGCATTATTCTCAATTGTGATGAATAATCGTAACTGTATTAAAAAATAAAGGTTTTGGCAATTCAAACCAAAGTTTTCATACGGCAACGATAATTGTCTTGCCATTATTTAAGATGAAAAGATGTAAAGGTTAGAGAATAACATTTTGCTTTCCAGTATCCACGTAGTGGATTGAATTATTTGGGCGGAACAATTTCGTCACGTTTTTTATATAGAAAATTTTGTTAATCATATAAAACATTTATAAATAAATACACATATTCGCTTAGCTGTTATTTGCTGGTAAGCCCACGGGGCCGTATGCAATCAGCCCTAGAAGTGGGACAAGTTGTTTAAGTGTTGAACTGGACAGTCCCGGACGGGCCGTGTTAAAAGTTTCTAGGACGAAATATTAATTAATTAATTAATTGATTAATTGCTTTGTACTTTTTATAATAATTATGTGGATGATAAAAAAAAATGATACGATGACGTTGGTGACAAGGATCGAACAGATTCTTTATTTTTAACGATTCGTGAGATGTTTTATATTTGTAAAACATGTATATAATGTTAGTTATTGAAAATCCTTGAAATTTGTGCAAACATTTCGTTATTTGCTAAATTAACAATTTCCTAACAAATTACACAATCATTTCGTCAATTTTCTCATACTTAGGCACGCTTTTATCGCAGAGTTTAGTAACTCAATTCTGTCATTTTTGAGAAAATAAAAAATGTGCTAAATTATTCCAATATAACACTGTAAGAGGGTGCGTTACTGGACCTGAGATATCATTTATTACAAGGGACGATTAGGAACTTGGATATGCGAATTATTATCTTCAGTTTGATTATTCATGAATAACTAATTATATTAAGCTCATTACATATTAATTTCTCAATCATCATTCATTTTCTATGGAAAGATTGTCCAACTGATTTTATTAAGATATATTTTTCCTCTGCTAATTGTAAATAAAATGTGATTTATATTTGCCAGTTTATAATTTATAACTATTGGCACTACACCAACACTGTTCTTCGAATTCATGGAAGTCGATTGGCTTAAAAATTCTAAAAGAAATTTCTTTAACTAGTTTCACCTTTGTTTTGCTTGATTTTATTGAGTGATTAAACCATCTTTGCTGTAGACAAAAATAAAAATTACCAGTTTAAGAACCTAAGCAAGTTAAAGTTTCGAAAACATAATTTCTCGGATTCTGTACTATGTCGATTTCTAAGGTTTCTTGACGTCAGAGAACGTTATAAATCGACGTGGTTTAGAATGTAGGACGTTTTTTTTGTTTTTTTGTACATAAAATCTGTTACAGTTTAACCCGTCTAACTCTATAAATGAAATACATCACGTTCAATTGAATTCTCTATGAATTTTATGATTACGATCGAAAATCTTTGTCAATGTATATGTTTGCACAAATTTGAAGATTATAAAGAACGAGTATTTTTAGACGGCAATGGATGGACATAGGGAGAGATTTTTTTATTATAGGAAGCAATACTTGCGCCTTGTGTTTGCAGTAAGAGTTAATGCGGGTGCGTACTTTGAATTAATTGTAAGCTATCAGTTAAAGAAACTGAAGTGCGCGACCTGACATTGTTTTTGCTGCAGAACTATGGGGCTTTGGTGAGGATTGTTGCTAATATTTTTGTCAACATTTGCAAATTTTATAGAAAGTTTCATAAGCGTTATTTACCTATACAATGGGACATAATATGACGTTCTTTAATCAGTTCTATACATACGTATAATAAATAAAAACCAATGCTTGACGACAGGCAACAAAAAAAAAATATTATGCACTGTTAAGTGCAGAATTAAGGCAGAAAGTTATTTGTGGCTTATATTTTATATATGAGTACATAATATGTTGTTTGTGTATCATGTTTTCACACTGACATTTGTAGACTGTTTATTTGTTAATTACAAAAGCTCAAAGGTATACAGTAGAGAAACAATTGCAGGTATTGTTGTTATCCAAGAACTATAGCTTTGACTGCTCTAAAATTTCCTTTTTTTTTTGGTCTATTGGGGCAGTGCCGAATTAACCTTTTTCTTGTTAACTTCATTATCTCAAAAAATCTGTAGTGATGCGAGAAGAAATGATAAAAAGTTTATCTTATAGATATTTAACGGACTGAGATTAACTTTCGCGTTATAAATTGTTAAATAATAATTAGTAAAGTAAATTTGATTTGGAAAATAAATATTATTTTGAACTTTTGATAAAGGGGTCCTAATAGCTGTGCTTACATTAATATACCGTATGCGAAAGGGTAGAGAATACCTATGCCGCATTTATTCAATAGTATGTAGTAAGCACTGTGCGCGTACGTTGATTGGCTGTTGGAAGTTGTGTGAAGGCGCACATTTCTATAAAGCGGCAATTCGTATAATTTAAGATCCCCTTGCACTCTTTCGCATACGGTATATTTATGTATTTGTTAATTCGGCACTGTGTTGAGGCAATAAAAACACAACAACAAAGTAGAAGCATTAAAATTTCTTGTTTAATTATGCCTTCTTAAAATACAAATGTTACATATTTGCCAAATCAAGTACTAAAAAGAAAAGTTGTTGAACTATATTTGGCTTTGAACCTTTTATATTACAATAGCTAATAAAATGGTTTCATTTGCTGTAGTTCTTAAATTAAAGTTGTTAACTCTAATACAGGCTTGTACTTTTACAGTTAGTCAGTTAAATTTGTCTTTATTATCTTAAAATTTTCTACTGAATATCTACTGGTTCACGTGTTTAATGCTATTCGGTACTTTACGGGTTAAGACGTATGTTCTTTCTTTTCCAACGACTTTATTTGTTCAAAGTAGGAATTAAAATTGGCCTTTGTTGGTTAATTCTTTTTCAAGAAGCGCATTCTGTATCACACGGACGAGTTGATTACGTTTGGAACATAAGTGTTCTTGGTCGTTGATCTGTCGAAACCGCCAAAAGTGCATTGGTTCTCATTAGCACGCCGACAGAACACCGACTGACCATCATGGGTGAATTATAATTAAAATATTGGGTGGTGATATAGTATGTGGTTAAAAGAAAGTGCAACTTTCGTTTTTATAATGGCAATTAATCTTAAAAATTGAAACTTTCAGAACCTAACCTATAATTAGTTGGTTTCGATACGATTATTCGTATTGGATTTTTGTTCGCTCTCTCTCTGTTTTATATGGACGTCAAATTCTGTTCCGATCAAAACGGCAAAACTTTCGTATAGAAAGAAAAAAAAACAAAGAATATATTCATAAGTGGAACATGATGATTGTATGTTATTGCTCAATTACCAGTTTATTTTCACGTTTACTTGGTCGATTGTGTTGTGATAATCTATTACTACGATAAATCAATCTAATTTATAGCAAATTTTTCATGAGAAATGGAAAGTATATCGTAGGTCTATATTAGATACAT